CTTTCCATCATTGATTCTATAAGTACATAAGATCAATAGATGCATCATTTGTTTAACACGGCTAAACTCAGGCTCTATATGAACCTGCTGTTAATGAGTTTGTCTGGTCTGGAGATGCTGTCGCTGCGACATGTAACTTTATGAAAAGTGAGAGCAGATGACAGGTTGTGTTTGTGTTGTGTATAAAAGGATCCTCTGTCTCTGATACTCTGTCTCCAAACATGTCCTCCTCCTGTTCAAAGCCTGCAGGTGGGACGTCGGATAGAAGGGCTCTCCCAGCAGCATGGCAGCCACCAACCCTTCCTCCTACCACCTTCTCTTCTTCTTCTGCTCCTCCTTCCTCATCGCTCAGCCTGCCCTCACCCAGGACCCATCTGTCACCACCATGACAGTAACCAAAGGAGACCCTGTCATGGTTCCCACCACGATGGCCAACCAGACGACTCCAAACTACGTGGAGACGACCCAAAACACCCCTCTGGAGACGGGGTTGTCCACTCCCATAAGCGGTGGGGATGCAGACGACGAGGATGTCCCTCCGCCCGGCGGGACACGTTGCCAGGGTTACTATGATGTGATGGGTCAGTGGGACCCACCGTTCAACTGCAATGCCGGCATCTTCTTGTACTGCTGCGGCACCTGCTTCTACCGCTTCTGCTGCCAGTTCCGCCAGCAGCGGCTGGACCAGAGCATCTGCTCCAACTACGACACGCCCATCTGGGCCAACACTGGCAAGCCCGTGGCAACCATCACAGAGGGGCAGGAGGACCAGGAGCGGGACCGCACACACCTCATCGTCTACATCATCTGCGGAGTGGTGGCCATCATGGTGCTGGTCGGCATCTTCACCAAACTGGGCCTGGAGAAGAGCCGTGGAGGGAGTGGAGGCGGAGGAGGAGGAGGAGGAGGAGGCGGAGGAGGGGGAGGAGCAGGAGCAGGGCCAACGCACTCTGACCTCAACTCAAGGTGAGGAGCATGAGGACATGTGTGTGTGTGTGTGTGTGTGTGTGTGTGTGTGTGAAGAGGTGGTCTGGTGACCTTTCTGTGTGTTCGCAGTTCTAGACACAAGCAAAGAGGTGCATAAAAGTTTGTGTGTGTGTTCGTAAATGCACGTATGTGTGTGTGTTTGCATGCTCGTGGTTTCTGGTGCGTTGAAGTGTCGTTGGAAAGTTGGAAATTCTGACTTTGTAGAAGTTTTCTAATAAGTCATACAGAGGAAGTTTCATCAGCGTTTTAACTCACAACCTGCCTGCTTGGGATTTACAACTTCCAACACTGATTGTGTAGTTGTGGGCCTACTAACACATGTATGCATGAGCGTGTGTGTGTGTGTGTGTTTGCTTGCATGTGCACAGTTAGTCTCTAATCCTGCTCCAACAACACATGACCCACTCTGACCAGCTGATTCCAACCTGTTCAGGTGTGTTTTTAGGAAAGAAGCCGATCACTTCATCGCCTTTGTCAAACTTTATCACAACACAAATACACACTCATGTCTACACACTCATATAAATCATGCCCTTATTTGGATTTTGCTCATTTTTTTTATTGCTTCTAATTTGACTTTTTTTCTTTGTGCTTGTTTCTTTGTTTCTGTTTTATTTCCATTTTCTTTTCTTCTTCACATTCATTTTGTATTCCACCCCTTGTGTACCATGTGCTTTGCTTGTAAGCATGACTTATATTTGAAATAAACAAAAAAATGGGAAAAAAAGACATTTTTTTGCTGCAGTAGGTGTTAAGCGTGGAGTAGGTGTTCAAAGAACTTTTCAAGAAAGGGAAGTCTTTGTGCTTCTGTGCAAGAATTCCCTCTTTCATGTTCTTTCCCTCACGTGTGCGAGGTTTCACACTGAGCACGAGTCATATCACTTCTCACACCTCTGGGCTGAACCACAGATAAATGCTGGGCTGAATGGGACGTCCTCAGATTTTTCACTTCGTTAGCTGAATAATGATATGAAGCCTTTACAGTTTGGCACCTTGTCTCCCTGTCTCCACACACACACATGCAAACACACACAGCTGCTGCAGTGAGGTCAAATACGTGGTCCAGGGTTCAATCTGTTCGCCTCAGGAACTCATTACAGCAAACAGCGCACAGCGTGAGCTCACGTCTCCACGCCTTCATCCCAAATCACCCAACCTCCGCTGGCTGAATCTCCCCGCTCTCCCTCTCTGCTCTTATCTCTTGTTTTTCATCTTGTTTCTTTCCACACATCTCAGTTTCATCTCGTGCCATTCGTTCCTCATACTTCTGATTCCTCCTCCTCTTTCTTCTCCTTTACTCCCTACTTGTCCAGCTGTCACTCTTTCTCGTCTTTCTTCTGGAAAAAGACGGGGGAATTTCAACCACTGACATCTTTATTTAATCCTCTCTCTCCTCCTCACCTTGCTCCTGCCATCTCATCCTCTCTGTCAGTGTCACACCTGACTCATCTTGTTCTCTGCCCTCTTTGCCTTCACTTATTTATTTATTCATCCATTCATTCACTCTTGTGGTTTCCTTTTGCATTTTATTTGGGAGAGTGGACACACGCAGGCGGCAGCACTCTCCATCAACCAGCAGCTCCGCTTGTGCGTCTCCCCATTAACCTGAGCTGCAGAACTCATTCGGAGGATAACACACACAGCCAGGATTAATATTTCCTGCAGGGTAGCACCTCACTGAAATAGAAACACTCCCACTGCATAAACACCCCCCACCCCTCCCTCTCCCCCTCCTCCTCTGTGAGCCCATCTCGACAAGATTACTGCTCCTCCTTCAGATTAAAGAAATTTCACCAAGATTACAGCTTTACCGTTTCTGGACTGCTCTGCCTGCACGCTCCTTTAGTTATTAGCCTGCTGACATAAATCCCTGGTCCAAATGTGTACGTGCAACTAAGACCTCATGTACTGCACACACTTCATGAGGTGAAATACATACATACACCCTCCCACTCTGGAGCACGGTCTTAATAGAGGCAACTTTTGCTCTCGTGCTGCTGTATCAAACTCCTGCACGCACCTGTTCTTTTCTTTATTTCTCTTTCTTTCCTCCCCACCATCTCAACATCCTGCAAACAGAGGGTGATTAATCCCACCAGTTCTTCCAAATCAGCTTTGAAACCTAAAATCGAAAGTGATCCTCATCTAAGATTGCCCTCCTCCCACACACACACACACCTTCTAAGACAGCCACACTTCTTTCCAACCGCGTCAGGTTGGATGTGTTTGCAGGCGGCGCTAATCCTCAACCAACAAAAGGGAACGGAGAGCGTCGCCTTAGGTCATACGTGTCACGTCTAATGAAAGGCTCCAAGTGCAGAGCAGTTGGCTTTACACCGAGAGAGTAAACAAACACTGATGACCTTCACGAATTTACACACACATACACACACACGTATACACACATGCACATACTCTCTGTGATTTATAGTTCAATTAACAACAAGAATGATAGTGGTGGCATTTAAGCTCCAGTCAGGATAGCCAGGAGGAGAGAGGCACCGCAGAGCAGCGTCCACCTCACACAAGTGTGAGAGGCCAAGGACCAACATGGTGGAAGCAGAGGTCACATGGTTCACACTGACAGAGAGAGAGAGAGTGTGTGTGTGTGTGTGTGTGCACATGTGGGCAAGTGTAAGTGAGTGCACTCATGTGTGAACATCTGTGTGTGTGTGGCCATTTGTGTGGCCCAGCTGCCGTCAATAGGGAAAACCTTGTATCTCCACTTATTAGACACCTCCAATCAGACATCAGATCAAACTGACCACCTGATATTGTCATGAAGTCTGTTCAGACACTTTGATCATTATGATCAGTCATTTGTCAATAAAATAACGAGAATGACTTTCTGGACTCTCTGGAGATACAAGGTTTTCACGTGGCATCAACACTACATGCTGATGGTTCTATATGTTCGACTGTTTGTAAATTGCCTGTGTCCAGTGTATGTGTGTGTGTGTGTGTGCTGCAGTGGGCTTTTTAGCCATGCTGTTATGTAATGAAGGACAGTGTCATTTAAAGGCTTTGACTGTTCTGCCCTAATTTAAAGTGGACAGATAAGCAATACTCAGTACAGTGTGGGCAGACATATGGACCGGCGCTGCACACAACACATGATATCACTTTTCCATTTCCCACACACACACACACACACACACACACACATACACACACACACACGTCCTGATGACACCTGGTTGTGGTGTGTTCATATTTCAGGGGCTGTTTGGTCAGTTGATGTGATTTTCACAGACAGTTTGGACCTTTATCAGCAACTGGTGTCGTTTTATTGAGCTGTGAACTCATTATCTTTTACACTCTATATAAAATCACTTACTTAGAGCAACATTTAAAGACAGTTATAGTTTTGTATTCACTGCCATTGCTTTAAATTTGTCATACTTTATAAAGTTTTATTCATGTAAATACTTCCTTAAAGGCTTTATAACTCAAATACAAACAACTTTTTGTAGACAAGCTGTGAGAAATCCCTTTAGCTGCTCTCCTCTCTCTCTATCTAGTTTAACCTGCTTTGACTTTTCTTCCGATTGTTCAGGATGTTTTTTACCAGGAGACAAATTATGCACAGCCTCCTCTCTTCTCCGGTAATTAAATCTGGTAAAAACACTGAATAAAGCAGCTTCACATTAAAGATGAGTTTCCTGCGACGCTGTTCAGCAGAGACACGAGGTGTCGGACAGGCCGGGAGCCGAACTGCCACCAATATTTGCTCAGCTTCTTTTGCTGATAATTTAAGATCCAGATCCAAAGTAATAAAATCCCACAGCCAGGTTAAGTATATTAACAATGAACACTGTATTAAAGGTCACTTTTCACTAATTCTGACTGACAATACTGACTCATGCACAAAGGGGGTTAAATATTAGAATTTATTAGTTATTCATCTCAGGTTTGTTTGTTTTTTAAGTATATTTTTGGCCTTTTTGCCCTTTAAGAGAGACAGGAAATGGGGAGGCAGAGAGAGAGAGAGGGGAATGACATGCAGCAAAGGGTCACTGGACTCGGGAATCGAACGGGGGCCAGCTGCAGCGAGGACTGCAGCCTCTGCATATGGGGCACCCGCTCAAACCCCTGAGCTATACAGCGCCACTAATCTCAGTTTTTAATGGGCTATCAGGTTAGCAAGATGCTAACAGACAGTTCCTCCATTACAAGTCAACAATAACAATTAAAACTCTTGACCTCTGAGGTCAGAGTTAATACATTGTTGATGAATTGATTTCTGCAGCTGTGCAAAGTGTGCACTGATTGGAGGATAATGACTCACTGAAATGGATGATTATGGCAGGAGAGGAGGTTTGCTAACATTGCTGCTAACTTTCACTGCCTAATGCAGAACTTGATAAAATGCATGAACTATGAACAACCCCACGTGCTACTATTTCAGTCACATGCTCACACACACTGTAGGACATGATAATGCACACACTTACTGAGTTGCATTACCCTGATTTTTTCCTCTGGTGAGCTTCTCCTCCCTGTTGTCACTAGCTTCACTGTGACTTCCTCTGGTCTTCAGAGAGCAGAAGAAAGACACAGCAGGCGTGAAGCGAGTCACAACCAGCGTGAGCTCTAAATACCTCTCCACATTCTCCCCCAGAGGAAGAATTCACTTCCCCAAGTTTCCTCAAAGTTTCCACTTCCTCAGCTCTCTTCCTTCACTCCTGCCCTCTGATCACCTCCAGGGTTCAGCTGTCACTGTCTGTCACCTCTCACCTGCCACTGATGTGTGCATGAGCATGGCTGCATGCATGTATGCTTACGAGCAAATGTGTTACAGTGTACACACGTACTGTATGTGTGTCACCGCAGTATTCTCAGAGGGTTAGGACGTATATGTCCACAGCTTCCCAACTGTATCAGATGTGACAATTTTCCCCCTGCAGCTGCCATACCTTCCTCTCCCCTCATGCACTCGCTCTACCTCGGTCCTGCCATGATGGCGTCACTGGACCCACACACACACTTAACTATGGGTCAGTGCCATCTGACTCAAGGGGTTTGGCCCTGTGTTGTTTTTGTGTTTGTCTTGGTCATAAAGCTGAAGCAGTTGAAGTCTGAGAAGCTGAAAGACTGACAGATTTTTACATTTACCACACACCTTAGAGGTGGCATCTCAGGTTTAACAGCTGTTCATCCAATATGAATATTTTGTCTGTCATTATCAGTCCAAAGTGGAGTTCATAAGACCAGCAGACTCTCAGTGAGTTGGCCCGTGTGGCTCCTTTTCATCCTTCTCCTAAACGTCTAATGGGCTATATGTCTGCGGCTTCACACAGGCAGCAACACCAGCTACAATCAGTTGAGAGAAAAAACTGCATTTCTTCCATTTTCAAAGAGTCACAAGCTTCCCTGCAACGAGGAAAAGACATGATAACTTATTAGCCCAAAACAAAACCTCTCAGATGCACTTGTTAGCTGAAGGATATCCCAGAAAACCACAGTGAGTCGGCTTCTGGATGCACATTATGTTTATTTTAGATGTGAAAAGGAAAAAAAAAAAACACGTACACACACACGGCAACCTCTGTGCTTGAGGGCACGGCTACATGTTTGCTTGTTTAGCATAAAGCCACAAATACTCACTGTTACCAGCTGAACGTTATCCCACATATAGCTACATGAAAACCACCACATGCGTCACCATTAATCCTTTTTGTCATGCATATTATCATCACAGCTCTGTACCAGGAAATGAGCAGTCAGATGTAAATGTGGGTGTGAAAACCCCACCTCCATGTTTTTCTCTTTTATTATTACATAAAAGACACACAAGCAGGTTTTACTTATGATATGATGCGTCTTCTAGAAACATGTTGGACACAATTAACTCACATCAAGGTTCATTTGATTAAGTGCAATGGATGAAGGTGAGTTAAAAGTAAAGTTTCCAAGTTCATTCAAATGCTTTAAATGTTGATAATAAAAATATATCAAATCTCAACATTAATACTCGGCAATACAGAGGAATGAACCTCTGAAAAGAAAGAAAAGAAAGAAAGAAAGAAAGAAAGAAGAAAGAAATTTGCTTCACGTCTTTGTGTATGGGTCTGTGTTGTATGTGTGTGTGGTTTGTTCATGTGCTTCACCATCTTCTCCCTCTCGCTCTTTATCAGTCATTGTCAGAGGCAACAAAGCTGGTTTTAACTGTAACTTTGAAGAAAAGAGGGAGCGATGAGTGACAACAGAGGAGATCTCAGCCACAGATGCGTTTCTTTTCCCCCGGATTAATCAAAAGTTTTTCTTTTCAGAGATGAATCGCACGAGGAGCGATGTTTAGAGTGGTTTCAGTGTGAAGACAGATGGTGATAGTGTGCATACGTGTGTGTGACAGATAGGGGTTAACCATCCTCAGGAAAAGGTCACACATGAAACACACTCTCAGCTCAGCTCATCAGCATTTCATCTGGCTGCTGTACTGACTCTTATCTGTTACTGTGTGTTTACTATTCAAGCCTCCACAAGCTTCTTCGGCACAAAATGGCTATTCATGCAATACACGACAACAGAGCAACAACAGTGCAAATTGTGAAAGCTATAAACTAAACTGCCAGGATAATGACATGTGATTGATATAAAAAACTCCCAGGGATCACAATGACATCATGTTTGTGAGTGCATCCACGTGCGCAGTTACCGGATCAATAGTGTTGCATTACTGTAATGTATCAATAGAACATGAGGATACTCTGTAAAAAGAGACCTCACTGTATTCAGGTCACTTTACATTAGAGAGACAGAGGAACGATCAGTCTGTACATTGACTTGGTTGAAGTTAATCACTGAGGGTGTATGTGTGCATGTGTGTGTGTGTGTGTGTGTGTCTGATCTGGGTGGGAAATTGATTGTTACAGGACATTAGCAAAGTCTCATCTCACTGTGGCTGTAATGTGATGGGTGAGCATGGAGGTACTGATGATCTCAGACACATCACCGTTACGTAACATACCACAGGGTAATGAAGAGCCATAAGAACAGTAACCTAAAGGTAACTCATGGTATATATATATATTTACATCCTATAAGGTTTTTGCAAACACAGAGCAGTGGAACTATTTACTTCTGTCTGTCAAATAAACATAGGAACACGTTCCTGCTCCTGCTGCAATTCTCCACACATTTTAAAATATTTCCAAATTGCACCTCAGCAGAAAATATTATATTGTATTAGCTATATATTCAGGGGCGACAATGTCAAAGTAAGTCAGAGTGAGTCTACTGACCTGGGTTCCAGTGGATTAGATAAAGATATATAGGGGGCTGTGGTTATTTTTATGAGCATTTCCTTCCAGTCTGACACAGTGATGTAAAGACCAGACACCTCCATGCAAATCTAAATCTAAATTTGGATTAGATGGGATAATGTGTCTTTTTTGGGGGGAGGTTGAAAGATGTGACGTCAGGAACAAGCTTATTTCCCTGATGCGCTATAACTGTCTTCTTTGTCTTGTATATGGGGAGACATGCCAAAACCTTTTCGCAGCATTTTGCAGCCTGGGGATAAAGTTGATGTTTGCATGGACTGATGTAGGTAGAGAACAGGGCGAGTGTGGTGAAGCACATGTAGAAGAGGATTTTAACCTAAAAACAAAACAAAGCTGTATTTGGGATGTACATGTGTTTAATAAGTCTAATTACATTTGAATTTGTTCATTTTACACTACTTACTAGTTCTATTCATATCAGCGAATACTGATTTAAACCAAGCAGAGAGCTCCTGGGCTGAAAATCTGGCTCCAGAATCGACTCTCATGTTAAAATGTCTAAGTTTACAGCAGTGTAAACATGTGATACACGAACCAGTTTGAGCTGATTTCCCCCTTCGTGACAACTGGCTGTAGCTCAGGAGGTAAATCAGATTGTCAGTGGTTTGCTCCTCAGTTCCTCCAGGTCTTTGTTAAAATAATGAACCCCATGTTGCCCCTGATGGGTGACTCATCAGTGTGAGTGTGTCTATGGTTGTGATGCATGTGGTAAATATAGCAAAGCACCTTGAGTGGGCTGGAAGCCTGAAACAATACTATATAGGTAGATCCATTTCCGGGGGGGGGGGGGGGGGGGGGTGGGGGGGGGGATTGGTGATGGGGGAGCAGCCCAGTCTGTTGGGACTGTTTATTTCTCGCTTGTTTGATAACTGCTCTACTTCTATTTTATTATTTCCATGCCATATATGGATATACACATCTAGGTGACCATGCTTACCCTGTCTATAATGTCTCAGTGGTATGAACTTTGGGTAACTTCCTCAAGTAAAGTCTGCAGAAACGAGGACATATGGAAAAGTGTGCATAAAGGACTTAAACTGAGCCCTGATGCTGTCAGTGGGTTGACAGTGGGACAGCACTAAGTCTCTCAGAGATTTACCAGGAAGGAGCCTCAGTCTGTGAGTGGGATGCTGGACGTTGTGACTGGGTCATGTAGTCTGTGGTTTACACCTAATGCCGGTTTCACATCAGTAGAAGAGCCAGTGCTGACACTGTCAAGAACAACAACAACTTGGTGACACGTGGAACTGAAGGTGTGACGACAAAACAAGAACAAGACAAAGATTCAGCACAGATTCAGGCAGCGCTTCATGAATAAATCTGCACCTGTTCATTCCTAATACCACTGATTTGGATTTAATTATCTCCACCCACCACAGACTATTTCTGTCAACCCACCCCACCCTGTGAGTCTTAATCTTTTAACCAGCTGCGCGGCCATCTTCAGTCTTTCAAAGGCATCTGCAGAAACTCTCACGGAGCTCAGCCAATGCTCCATAAACACTACATAGCCCGGAGACAGGTGCAGTTTTTGTTGCAGATTAAAAGTCCAAATCAGCAAGTTGTTTGAGCGGCGAGCCAAGAGAAGGGTGCGTGGAGGCCCGAGGCGCTGCACGGCAATGAGTCAGAGAAGGGATGAGGAACAGAGAGAAAGAAAGACAGAGAGAGAGAGAGAGAGAGAGACTTGAGGAGAGGAAGACAAATGGTATGGTTTAAAGAGGAGGGCGAAGAGAAAGAGACAGATTTAGGGCTGCGTTTAGGTGAGGAGGGGGCAGAGAGAGGAAGAATGAGACGACTGAACAGAAGAAGAATTGACAACTG